AAGGTCATCGAATGGAGCAAAACTCACTTAACAAATGTCCCAATGTTAGCAATAGAAATTCTGGGCTCAATTGTGGTCGTAAGTCGAGGACTACCTGTATAGAACTAGCCACAGATTCCAGATGTGACTATACTGCAGTCAAGGAATGTTCAGACCAGTTGCAAACATGATCTCATGAAATTCATGAGATTTCCTCAATACAAATACAGTAGATTAGTACTAAAAATTAAAATTACTCAACCTTTCAACCAAATTCCTAAGCTGCTTTCAGTTTTTAGAAAAACCTCAGGTCATGTGTTACCATTCATCCACGTAAACTCGTTCCAAAGCTTCATATAAATCCCTATAGAAGAAACTCAGCCAACCTGCTGCTACATTTTCAGTCAGTGCCAGCAAAGCAGGTCTGCTGAAGATCCAGAAAACTGCCACCACTAGCACAAAGTCCCCAGACATCATTATTAATTAGGAAAGCTTTTCCTTGGAGTTTTTCCATGCTGGGAGGAAGAGATAGCGAAGCCAGATGGAAAGTGGGGACATTTAAAAGTTATATTGATATTGAAACAACCCACATGGTTGTATCAGTTGGCAAGCTAATAACTGTGGGTTGAATTAAGCTCTGATGTAGTTTTATTAAAAAAGTGTATTACTGCAGGCATTAGTGTATCCAGCTAGATGAAGTGCTTTGAATACTTCAAAATACTATTTAAAAAATTAAGTACAATTCTTTCCATAATCATCATTTCTACTGTCATCAGTGTTTGCTAAGATTTAATATTTTTAATGATTCCCTTTTTTGCTGAGGCTTAAGTGAAAAGAACGGACACTTGCAAATTGCTATGAGCATGGGAAATCTTCTTGGCTTTTCTATTATGTTCAGAGACCACTTGGAAAACAAGGAAGAAAAATTGGCATTCATGAGTAGAATTATGGTTTTCTTCAGAATTTTTGAAGAGGGCAATTTTTATATTCAGATTTCTTTCAGTTGGAAAAGTGATTGGTGAATTTGCAACTAGCTGCATTGGTTTGGGTATCAGGGTAAATAAGGATGAGAAAGGATGATAAAAAAGGAGGAAAGCGCCAGATGGTGTAGTGGTTAAGGCAGGGGTAGGCAATTGTGGCTCTTTTACAACCTGTGGACTTCAACTCCCAGAATTCTTGAGACAGCTTGGAGTTGAAGTCCACAGGTTGTAAAAGAGCCACAATTGCCCACCCCTGGGTTAAGGCATCAGATGAGAAACTTGGAGACCGAGTTCTAGTCCTGCCCTTAGGCATAAGGCCAACTGAATGACCTTGAGCCAATCACTCTCTCAGCTCTAGAAAGGAGGCAATAGCAAACCACTTCCAAAATCTTACCCCCAAAATTGCAATGACTTGTCCAGCAGGTCACCAGAAGTCAAAAGCATCTATCTATCTATGGATGAGAAAAGTGGCATCACACGAATAGGTCAGGGAGTTTTAGGGCTTGTAGTTCCTACAGACTTAGTGAATACTAGATGGGAGAAATCAGCTTTAAGATAATAAAGACATGAACTTGAATTAAAGGAGATTCTGGCAGAGTTTGCACATTTAAATATGAGGAGCTTAAATCACTTCAACTTATTTTAATCATTCACTTTGACACAGTGAGGTCCCTCCCCCAAAATACTCCAAAGCGGTATGGTGAGAGATTAGAGCTGTCACTAGAGACTGATAGAAAATTAAAGGTCCCTGGAATGAAGTGCAGGTGAGAACTTATTACACTAAGAGTTTTTGGGGCAGAAACGTTTTTCAGGTGAAATGGCCAAGGTTAAGTCACCTTGTTATAACTGCTTTGCAGCATCAAAAATGAATGAGAGTTAGGCAGCAGACAATTGAGATTTAGATCAGGTGAATTTTATTGCTGCCCCATTTGCATGTCATTGTTGAAAGCCCAGTGATGCTATTTCAGCTATTTCATTGTCACTGATATTTTTTCTTTTTTCTTTAGCTTGTGGAAGGAACAAGGCAAAGAACAATTCTGAAGCCCATCCAAGTAGGAACTGCTGCAAAGGATGACCAAAATGCAGAGGAAACAAATAGCAATGACCCCCATATTTTCTCACTTGAATGATGTGATCACAAAGCCCTTGGGAAAAGAACATAAATATTTAATTACCATAGAAAGACCCCATTCTCCCATTAATGTAGACAAGAGTTTCTGTATACATTGGCATGAATAGTTTTGTGCATAACATAATATGCATAACAATCCAGAGGGCATTAGTCATTCTTCTGATTGATTCTACCTATCTCATCTTAGGTCATTGTAGGAACTCAAAAATGATTTATAAAGGAAAGTGGAATCCTGATGCTTATTTAGAAGCCATCCAGGAAGGTAACATTAAAAAAGTTTGCCTAGATTAACTCGAATATGAAATAAAGGTTAGTATATATTGGTTGAAACTCCTTACAAAGTATTTAAGAAGTCCCTCTAATCTAGCTCTACATCTCTTTTATGTTTTCCTCTGCCATTTTCAATATCACTACTCGTCTTTAAAAAAAATAATAATCTGCCCATGTGTCAGAATACACTTCTAGTATTATCAGACTAAGAAATCTCAAAATTTATTACAAACCCTGGCTCTTCAAAACATGTGCCTCATTAAAATATGCAAATCGACTGGTCTAGGCACATGTCTAATGGAAACTATTGGCTTTTAGCAGAAAGCAGTATCTTGTCTTGAAACCAGAGTTCCAGGCTTATATATAGCTAAATCAATATTTTAAATGTCAACAGCATATAAGAGCTTTATGGAAGGAAAGAGTGCTCTGTGGTCACATGCTTCAAATATGCAAGGACTTTCTTTAGTGGTGTCTTTTACAAAGGCTCTGCATTTGGTCCTCATTAGCGTACATCTGGATTTTTTCTCCACTGAGTTTAATGATTATCCATCTCCCCAACCCCAGAGTGCCCAAATACACACACACCCAACTGTCTGAAAGCAGGGACATATGATGCATATTGACAACTTTCATTAATCTGGTTTGGCTCTGTCTCTCCTCATTAGCAGAACATTAAATGAAGCGGGAACCTAAATGGATGGCAAGAATTACATTATTTGATTCAAGGGTTCTTTGCTCCTTTAATCTACTCAATCTTGAAAGGTATCTTGGGAACAGAAGTCTTATTATGATGCACTGAATTAGTGTTATTAACAGAATTACACACTGAATCTTACCTGCAGGATATTGGCTCACACAATGAGCAGAGACTTGTAATATTGAATTTTGTCCCATGTAAAAATAGTATTGGGGACCAAGGAGACTGCTTTTTACCAGGTTGGGGCATTGGTTCGCCAAACAATATTGTTTACTGGGAGTGTATCTTTCAAGTTGTTTGATAAGGAAGTGGTTTCAGTATTATCTGGAGATGGCAAGGACTTAATTTGGCCCTTCCGAATTTAAAGAATATGCCCAACTACTGAATTATACTTTTTCCATAATGATAGATGTGTCAGCCAGGAAAAAAAATTGAAATAAAAACAACCTATAAAGGCAATATCTTCATTGTACTAACCAAAATGTAATATTAACTGCAAGCTTTCAAGTTTCTTAAAATTTCTAATGAAGTGAAATAGTTAAAAAGCCGAAAAATGAACATGAGATTTGGAGCTAATGTATATTATTCGGCCTCTTATATGAAATAAGAGCCAACATCTTCAGAGAGCTATATCTTTACAGAAACCCTTGCTATAATTCAGAAACATTTTGCACCGTGCTATATTGGACAACGTCCAAATTGCATTCCTTGAGGCTGATAAAGATTTTTAAGAAACATGAAAACTTGCAGAGATGATAAAATATTGGTTGAGCAAATAAAGATATTGCCCTTGTGGGGTTTTGAGCAGGTCCTGCTTAAATTGCTTTTCATTGTGATTAATTTCTGTTTGCATGAAGATTTTTGAATGGAGAAACATTCAATAGTGTGATTCAAGAATAACTCTTAAAGTTCTAGATTTTGTGCTAAATATAGATCAACTCCAATTCTAGCATGAACATGACACTAACTGAAACCTCTGGTTTTAATGTAGAAACAAATGATTGCAAACCATATGCAGAAATCTAATTGGAAATGTTAAAAAGAATAAATTGGGGTTAACTAGAAAGTGAGATTTAAAATGTCTTTCTAGTTGAGAGACCATGTAAAATGCAAGATTAAAGCACATCTTTCCATTAGTGGTACCTCAGTTGATGGAGCAAGAACTTCATTCAAATTTAGAAAAGCTGCAGTTCAAAGGAGCTACAAAGTATCATTAGTAGAATAAAAGTGATGAACAGATGCATTTGGCAGGCTAGGCAGAAACAACCAGATCTGGCATCAAGTTTTCACAAGCATTATTAAAGATCTCCACTCCACAATGACAGACAAAATACAAAGCACTTGAATTTTCTCAACTGGCACAAAGCCGGACACAGTGCTTAAAATATCAATACACCAAGTTAAAAATAGCCTATCTCCTGTTTTCTTTCGCCATCTGGCTTGCTAAAAGACAACAGAATGCACAATTTATTCAAAGGACTTCTGTGACATGTTCACTAGCCCCAGGACAAAATGAGCTCTTCAGTCTTCTGGGGCCAGATAATTTACAGACAGCAGTCCTTGTAGTATTTACTGATCAATCTGGCAAATGCAATTTATCCTATTCCTCATTTAGCTGTTTTAGAAAAGCTCAGTATTATGCAGATATCTACCAGATAGCTAACCTTACTTTAGGGACCCAAAGGTGCTTTTTCAAGAGGCAACTGGACTTTCTGGTTTTTCTTTGAAGATGTTTCACTTCTCATCCAAGAAGCATCTTCAGCTTTAGGGAGGTATCATTTTGGGAATTATTAGTTTGCCCGGTGGGTGAAATGGTATCTCCCAAACTACCTTCCTTTTCCTCTATATCTGGAACATTGGGTGACCCACAAACTTTCTACAGTCAGACCTAAATCTCATCAACAATCTCTGTGGATTCCCTCCTTCCTTCTTTTCTTTGCAGATTTGGACAAGCCCGTCCTTACTGTCCATCAAACTATCAGTGATGTCCGTGGGAGTTTTTATCATGAGAAGACAGTCTTCCTTCGATGCACAGTCAGCTCTAATCCACCTGCTCGCTTCATCTGGAGAAGGGGTGCCGAGACTCTTTCCCATAGTCAGGATAATGGAGTGGATATCTATGAACCATTGTACACAGAGGTGAGATAGGTGTTCTCTCTCCACATACCTTTTGGACATTCAGGGGAACTTGGATTTTCTTGTGGTAATATATAGGTTTCAAGAATAGTAGTCACTGAGTCTTATCTCCATGAATTTATCTAATCCCATTTTAAAAAAACTTCCAGGTTCAATAGTTTAACTGCACATAGCGTGAAGAGATACAATCTTTTATCTTGAATCTCCTACCATTCAGCTTTATTGGATGATCCCAAGTTGTAATATGAGAGAGGAGGATAAACTAATGTATATTAACTTCCTTTACATCATGCCCAATTTTATCAACTTAATCATATCTCTACCTTTTTTTCTGTTTAAAAACTAATGCAAGGGTTATTTTTTTCATAGAGGGTTGTTTCTGCAACCTTGACCATTTTAATTATTCTCTCCCCCACCCCACTTTCTGCAGCTTTACATGTAGAATTTCCACTATGAGTGCACCTTACATTCTTAGAAGGCTTCTGATTTCTGGTGAACCCCAACAAAGAATTTTTTTTAATGCTATACAGTAGCACTGCTCTTTCTTTGATTGATTTACAAGGGTATCAAGCTAAGATCCCTATAGTGCAGCACTTCAGATGACATAACTATTTATGTGATGCTGTGTGGATGGATTATTTCAGGGTTTGTTTACATAGATCTGTGTATGCTTGGTACGGGCGTGTAACTGAACTAAATCCTAAAAGTGAATTAAGAGATGCTAAGATTGGAGGAAGAACTACAAGAGTATAACATTATAAAGAGAAGGAGCAATGAGGTCAAGAAAGGTATTAACTCAGCAAAGTTAACAGATGTGATAAATGGGAGAGATAGAAAGGAATGAAAGAATATGGGCAGATTTGGCAAACCCTGCATATAAATTCAAAATTCACATCCCAGCATTCTAGATACAGCTCTGCTGCCAAACTGAAAGAAATCAATTTCAAAGACTCTCTATCTGTCTTTCTGTCTGTCTATCCATGTAGAAAAGTTTGCTTTGTTACTTTATATTATTTATGTCCATTTAAGGGATGAAAGCTTGTACCTAAAAAAAAATAATTAAGAGACTTCTTGTGGTAAGAAACAGCTTGAGAGTACTAAGGAAAAACTCCACATTCGTCTTTTGCAACCATAGCTGTTCAGACTACATGATTAATCTATGAAATCTTGTAGCAGCAAGCTATATCCTCCCCTCTCCTACCATCCAGTGGATTGTCTATGCTTCTTTAATGCTCTGCCTCTGTTTTTTGAAATTGATGACTGGCTTTTCTTGAGATTGTTCAAATACCTAGTGATGAAGTGCTATTCAGAAACAATCTCCACAACGAATGTGTGTTTTTCTTTATTTTTCTCCTTCATAAATTCTCAAAACTTTCCATGTGCTGACTTTCTTGAATCACATGCTAACATTTTTCTTCTTTGAAGTTTTAGAAAATTGAGACTATAACACCAATAAAGGAGAATATCTGTAGCTCATGTTTGAAATGTGGGGTCCTTGGTACTCTCTGAGCTTGTTTTCTTGCAATCGTTTCATTACCCTTAGCTAAGTAACATCATCGGTGGTATATTCCTCAAAGCAATTTGGAAAATTAGCCCCCACCCGCCCTCCAACCCTACTTCATAGGCAGACTCATAGTTAATTTTGCTGTCCTTGTGAAAGGAAAGAAAGGGAAGATGATGTTGAATTAGTTGTATTCGGCACATCTGTCTACTAACCTCAGGCTGAGCTCTGTTTGGTTTCTATCTGCATCTGAGTTTTGCAACATGTCCTAGGCTGTCTCTCACTCAAGTCATAACCAAAGCTACCCTTCTGCATGCAGGGAATCATGCTATGAGATGAAATCCAGTGTCTTGGGTTATTGGGTTTGAAAAGAGAAGGTCCAAGACTTTTGTATTTCCAGAACAATATACTAAAAGGGAAGTTATGTGTCACGCCTCGTGGAAGGGAGATGTTTCTTAGATGAAAGTAAAGTAAAGCCTGAGGACAGAGGGAGATATATGACACGTGGTGGTGCAGTGGTTAGAATCAGGGGTGAAATCCAGCAGGTTCTGACAGGTTCTGGAGAACCGGTAGTGGAAATTTTGAGCAGTTCGGAGAACCGGTAGCAGAAATTTTGAGTAGTTCAGAGAACCAGCAAATACCACCTCTGGCTGGCCCCAGAGTGGGGTGGGAATGGAGATTTTGCAATATCCTTCCCCCAGGAGTGGGAAGGGAATGGGGATTTTGCAGTATTCTTCCCCAGGAGTGGGGTGGGAAGGGAGATTTTGCAGTATCCTTCCCCTGCCATGCCTACCAAACCACACCCACCAAGCCACACCACACCAACTAAGCCACATCCACAGAACCGGTAGTAAAAAAAAATTGGATTTCACCACTGGTTAGAATGCAGTACTGCAGGCTACTTCTGCTGCCTGCCGGCTGCCTTCCTGCAGTTCAATTCTCACCGGCTCAAGGTTGACTCAGCCTTCCATCCTTCCGAGGTTGGTAAAATGAGGACCCAGATTCTTGGGAACAATATGCTGACTCTGGTAAACCACTTAGATAGGGCTGTAAAGCAGTCCTCTAGTCTAAGTGCTATTGCTATTGCTATTCCTGTCCCAGTTCTTAGGTGGAAAGGAACGGGCATAGCAATTTTCCTGTTCATTTTTACTTTTGTTTTTATGAAATCTGAAGCTTTAATTGATTTATACCAATAGATGTAAATAAAAGTAGTCCTCAAATTATAACCATTCATTTAGTGAACATTCAAAATTACAATGGCACTGAAAAAATGTGACTTATGACATGACCTTGCACTTATGACTGTCACAGTATCCCCATGGTCATGTGATTAAAATTTGGGTGCTTGGCAACTAGCATGTATTTATGAAATTGCAGCATCTCAGGGTCTTGTGAACCCTATCTGTGTCCTTCCTAGCCAGTTTCCAACAATCAATAAGGAAGCCAGATTAAGACCACATGATTCACTTAACAACTGCAGTGATTCGGTTTACAACCATAGCAAAAAGTCATAAGATTGGGCAAAACGCATTTAGCCACCTCCTTACTTAACAAGGGAAATTCTGGTCCCAATTGTGGTCATAAGTCAAGGTCTAGATGTATACTATAGACGTGTAGCTGCTCTGTAGGAAAACTCTACGGTTAGTAAGATATTTGAGCCATAGATTGCATTCTGTTGTCCCTTCTCAATAACAAAAGTTGTTTAACTTTTCTGCCTATTTCAGTGGTTTCTACTAATGGTCAGAGAGGGAACTGTGATTCTTGGCAGGATTAACCATAAAGCAAAATATTAATATTTTGAGATGCCAGAGCTGTTAATGATTGTTTTGGTGAGCATCTTGAATAAAAATAGTCACTGATGTAGAGGGAATATGTGATACATCTTTCGTTGATTGTAATAATTGGCACCGGACTAAAAATAAATACTTGAAGTTTTTCCATAGTGATGGCCCTGTTGCATGGGAGTCTATCACAATTCCAACTCACCACAGCCAATTTGCCCTGGCCATCTCATCACAGGACAATTTGCTGCAGGACAAGACTTACACTAATATCAAAGAAATGGTGGAATACAATAATTAAAGAAAGGATGCAAATGGAGGGACAGAATGAAATGTGAATGGCAGAAATTAAAATAATTTTTATTTATTTTAATTAATTAAACAGAATTGTTAAATTGTCTAGCAGTGAGTTTTCCTGTGGCAAGTTGGCCATGGTGAGTTGGCCATGGCATGTTGGCCACAGCAAGATGGCTGTGGCAAGTTGTCCCATTCCCATTGCATGGATCCTACTCATTATGGGAGCTGTTGCTTTACATTAGTCTAGAAATCCCAGTCCCTTTGTCTTCTCTTGGTTGTAACATTGTAGTTGGCATAATTGTCTACCTTGCAGTTTTACCTACCTGTTTTTCTGCCTTGCATCTGCTTCCTGCTTGAATTATTTTGTTGTCCTTAAGGATTTCATTGATTAGTTGCTGGAAGGAAGGATTTTTTTTTTCTTATTTATTAAACACCCACTCTACCATTCCTCTAGACAGCATATGCTTCTTTCACTTCTATCCTCAGAACAATTCCATGAGACAGTTCACCTGAGATATCCTGACTGGCCCAAACTACTGGATCCTAAATCTGCCCCTTCCCAGTACAGCATTCTAACCATCACTACCTCTTAAAAAGACCTTTCTGGGAGGGAGAGATATTTTCTCATTGGAAAAAGCTTAATAACTGGGACGCTGCCAAAAATTGCAGCTCCACGAATAGTTTGCCTGACGCTAGTTGCAGAATGAGTTGGAGTGGATTTGTTGTTGTTATTTTCTAGCCTACAGTCGTAATCATTTTATATGCCAGTGATAGGCTAACACCTATTACATTCCTTTGACAAGCCAAAACTGGGCAGCTGAGAGAGGAAGCAGATCTGAGATAACAGCTTCTTGTCTTTGATATATTATGGTATTGCTAAAAAGAGAGAGAACAGTTTATTTGGATGCATGATGTTTCTCTCATCTGAGTGCTTTCTGTTTTCTCAGAATTGTGGCTTAGCTACATTAGTCTTTAGAAGAAGCTTCTAAAGCTTCTTTAGAAGCTTAAGTTGATTATATTAACAGATAAATTGTAAACTTAATAGTTTAAACTTTGTACAATTATTTCCAGACCTGGTGGTTACACATTTACCCCATGTTTATTGGGGTAAACTTAGATGTATGTAAACCATACATAAATCAATATTTGACAGGGAGGTTCTAAATGTTATTATCAGAAAAGAATAGCAATCAGAATAACAGAATAACAGAGTTGGAAGTGACCTTGGAGGTCTTGTAGTCCAACCCACTGCTCATACAGGAAACCCTATACCATTTCAGACAAATAGTTGTCCAATCTTTTCTTAAAAACCTCCACCAACAAATTCTGGAGGCAAATTTTCACAGTAGTATTATGGTCTTGTTGGTGTTTATCTTGATCCAAGGCTACATTTTCCCTTCCATCTTTGTGTGAATTTTGCCTTC